AGCCTGCCCAGCGTGCCAACGCCACTTCCGGGAGACGTGCACGCGGTGCGCGCGCACACACCCCCGGCGCCGGCCGGGAGCCCCCCGCCCCCGGCGAAGAATCACTTGGCAACCCTACATTCACTTTAAAACATATATCCCCTTTTAAAACTTTCTCTTTTTAACCCTCCTAGTAGCAAAATGCATACATTATTGGATTCAAATCCCATTATGCACTTTTGACCTGTTTTTATGTCTAGGAAGGCTTTCAGTTTAATTGTGGTGTCTTAAAGAAGCAATTGTTCACACCCGTCTTGTCTACAAGGAGAAAGTTCCACCTTCTCCCATGTTTTTCTTCAGCTGAGCTCGCGTCTCACCCACTCCTTGCTCCTACAAAGGGACAGTAGTCCCCGTCCCCTCAATTGGGGTCTTAGTTATGTTATTTTATTTTTATTACCTCCAGTTTCAATTCTTTTCTCTTTTTTTTAAGGTTTTTAAAATATTTATTAAGATCAAGAGTAGGTCGAATGTGGTAGTTAGGGTTTGTTTTGAAAAATGAGATTTAAGCTCTGGTTATGTATTCTGAACCTTGACTATCAAAGTACCAGATTTAGAGCATGTTGTTTTCATTCCTCTTCATTTTTGGTATTTCGTCTCCCAAAAAAATCTTCCATCATATGCATATCTATCAGTATGTGATAACCTTCTGTCTGACTAGGTTAGATGCTAATCCTTCTGAGGTTTGCCAGGGTAGATTTATGAATATCCTGTAATTTTCTTCGTGGTCTCTGTGCATCACACCTCTGGGATATAGTGCGCCTGCACCGACCCTACAAGTAGAAAGTTCCACCTTCTCCCATGTTTTTCTTCAGCTGAGCTCGCGTCTCACCCACTCCTTGCTCCTACAAAGGGACAGTAGTCCCCGTCCCCTCAATTGGGGTCTTAGTTATGTTATTTTATTTTTATTACCTCCAGTTTCAATTCTTTTCTCTTTTTTTTAAGGTTTTTAAAATATTTATTAAGATCAAGTATAACTTATAACATGTACAATACCTGCAAAACAGTATTCAAAAGTCCAGAGAATCCAAAATTACAAGCCAGCCAGTTAATCACCCAAAAAGTATAAAAACGACTTTTGAACTTTAAATCCCAATGAATGGCGTCTGCCTTTATCCTGCTTGCTATATGCACATTTCCTTATGGATCCATGATGATGTACCCTTGAAGCATTAAAGGTTTAGGTAGCAGGCAGGTGAAGATGAGCAGATTCCTGAGAGATGGCTGATAAACAAAGCAGTAGAACGAAATGGAGCTTCCTAATATCTAGTATAGTGCATTTCTCATTGCTCTCCACCCCGTCTTGACCCTTCAGCATTAATTCATGCTATACCACTCAGGAGTGCAGCTGTTCATAAAGGTTTTTTCCTTAAGTGCTCATGTTTTAAGCTGCTGCTCACCACCAGCGGTCAAGAATGAGTAAAATAAATATGGGGGGGGGTCCCCCTCAGTAGTCATTCAGAATAATCTCAGAAGACAAATGTGTACTGCGATAGGGTCTGTTTTCAGCACTTTGCATGACCCAGTTCTCTTGCGCGCCCATCCCTGTGTCCTTGGTGCACATACTTCTATCCTAGCCAGAACGATTTCTTCAAAGGACTGCTTTATTTTCTAGGAACAAATCCGTGTGCCGAGAACAACGGAGGCTGCAGCCACCTGTGTTTCTTCACACCTCAGGAGTGCAGATGTGCCTGCCCCATCGGGTTGGAGCTACTTAGCGATATGAAGACTTGCATCATTCCAGAAGCCTTCCTTGTTTTCACCAGCAGAGCGGCCATTCATAGGATTTCTCTTGAAACAAACAATAACGATGTCGCTATTCCTCTTACTGGCGTCAAAGAAGCTTCTGCTCTTGATTTTGATGTGTCTGACAACAGAATCTACTGGACAGATATCAGTTTAAAGGTACACATGGCATTTTAACCCAGATAGGTTGTTTCTGTTAACTAACTAAACAGCTATTTTCTGTTAACTGGCTAAACAGCTAGCTTCAGTGCATTGCATCCAGAGAAATAAATTGTGCAGTTCCGCAGGGCCTGCAAGACGTAGCTCTTCCGCCAGGCTTTCACATAGGGGCCGCCGCTGCCACCACCACCAACGGTGGCAATGCCAACTGGATTCGGGATCACCTTGGGAAGTACAGCTTACCTTATGTGATATTAACACCCACTGGACAGTGGCAGCTCAACAGGGCTGATTTGAAGACCGAAGACGCCATCATTACCACTTAGGACCATTTTGCTGTGAAGCACTAATCTATTATTGTTGTTATGTATAATTGCTGCTATGATTTTATTGTTTTATGGATTTTATGCATGGGCTGTCGCCCCCTGTAAGCCGCCCTGAGCCCACGTGCGGGGAGGGCGGGGTAAAAATACTTAAATAAATAAATAAATAAATTGATAATGCATAAAATTGTTCTATGAACTTTACAAAATAAAACATGCTAGCAATGAGTTTCAAATGAAACCAATATAAATAGATCGTAAAGTGTGCTTCACAAGCTATAGAAGATATACGGTTTGTTGGATCCAGTAAATTCTGGGAGCACAGATGTTTGGTGGCTTTCCCTCACCAACAATCTCATCATGACTCCACAAAAAGTGATTCATGGGGGTCACAGGACCTGCATTGACTACTAGCCATGTGGTTGGGTGGGGAGATGCGAAATTACTCCTCACTCTTATACAAGTATAGCTCCAGTGTCAGAAGAGTGGAGGCAATTTTGCCTCCGTCCATCTCCTCTGTGTCAAATTCACTTATGCATTGATGTATTTGCATTTATGTATGTATAGCCTGCTTTTCTGCAGGCTGTGGAAGGTCGGTAGTTCAGCAGTTCGAGACCCGGGTGCCGCATGACGGAGTGAGCTCCCATCTCTAGTTCCAGCTCCTGCCAACCTAGCAGTTCGAAAGCAAGAAATTGCAAGTAGATTAAATAGGTACCACTTCGGTGGGAAGGGAACAGCGTTCCGTGCGCCTCGGTTTTTAGTCATGCAGGCCACATGACCACGGAAACGTCTTTGGACAGCGCTGGCTCTTCGGCTTTGAAACGGAGATGAGCACCGCAACCCTAGAGTCGGACTCGACTGGCTTTCGAGCAATGGACACCTTTACCTTTACTTTACATTCTCCCCACAGTTGGGACTTAGAACATTGTTCTCCCCGCCTTCATTCTTTCATAACAATTCTGCGAGACAGGCCAGGGTGAGAGCTTGTGATGGGCTCAAGGTCACCCAGTGAGCTTCCATGGTAGAAGTGGGGGTTCGAACCTGAGTCACCCAAGGTCCTTACCTGCCTCTGTCCACTACACCACACTGGCTCTCCCCCTGACCTTTGTGGTTATTAAGTCCACACAGGTCCCACAGCCCTGGAAGTCAACTTTCCTAGAGTTGGAAGGGGCTGCTGGTGTGAGGAAAATGCGGTGAAGGTCTGCATCCTTCAGTGCCTTCCAGTGGTCCTACTGCTGGATCCAGCCCCTAGTCTGTAAATTTCTAACGTTAGAGAAAATGAGTCTTATTGATGGGATTTGTTTCCAAATGAGAATATTCCTCTCGTTATAAATGGCCTAGAGTAAATCTTTTGGTTTATGTTCTTGAACTCTTGTCATATGTCTCGAAAATTATTTTCTAGACGATAAGCCGGGCTTTTATGAATGGAAGTGCTGTTGAGCATGTAATTGAATTTGGATTGGATTACCCTGAAGGAATGGCAGTCGACTGGATGGGGAAAAACCTTTATTGGGCAGATACCGGAACGAATAGAATCGAAGTGGCACGCCTGGATGGCCTGTACCGGCAAGTTCTTGTGTGGAAGGATTTAGACAACCCAAGATCTTTGGCCCTTGACCCATCTAAAGGGTAAGCAAGGTTTGTGTTCTCTTTTAGTGTAGTGTGGTGTCACAGTGACAGGGACAGGCAGCAGGTCCACAGAGGGCACCAGGTCCACAGAATTTTGTAATATATACTTTGAATTTAGCCATTTAATTTAATGAAAGGAGAACATTTCAGCTTATATTCTGGAAATGTCTTTGCCAGTGGTTTTGGCCACTGTGTGACAGAGTGTTGGACTGGATGGGCCATTGGCCTGATCCAGCATTGGCTTCTTTTATGTTCTTATGCCATTACAACATTACAATATTAATCTTATTCATGTCATACAGAAATCTGTGAATAACATTGTTGTAGCTTATGCTTCTAGGACAGAATACTAATTTTGTTAATAATGAAGTGTTGAACTGCAAAGGTGACAAGCAGATATGAATGACTTTATACGCTGTTTATAACAGTTCTGTATTGCAATGCAGTATTGATGTATTCAGTAAATCGTGACAAGTATGCTTCAGGAATGCGGTTTTAACTTGAGAATTGAAAAATCCCAAATGTGAACCTAAATGCTTCTTTGTGCCCATTGCCAGTTCCTGTGATTTTTTTTCCTCTTTAAACCCAAGCATGGCCCACACTGCATTGGAGGCAGAATCAAATGGTTTCTCATATACTGAAGACTTTGGGATCAGCGTTTGGGAGGAATTGTGGCCAGGATTCACTGGAGTGCTTCTGCAGACAGAAGGCTTTCTACCTGCTGAGTCATACTGGACTTCCTTCCCTTTCCCCTCCTGTTGCAGCCCACCACTCCCCCCGAAATACTGCTCCTAGGAGTAGTATCCTCAAAGCTGGCATGGGGGGACATTTTAGGCTGCAACAGGAGAGAGGAAGCAAGAAAGTTTTACACCAGGTGCAGGAATCATTCAGTCTGCATAAGGATCAAAGTGGATCCAGACCTGTTATTGTCCATTTGGAAGATTCCTGTGCACCATTTTGATTTCCAACCAAGACGTTTTTGAGTCAGTCAGTGAAACTGTACATAAGTTTCCTTTTAGTTTCCTTGGGGCCATATTTTGCTGAGTAATAGTTGAAAGTGCCCTGATGTGGATAGCCCAAGCTAGCCTGATCTCATCAGATCTTGGAAGCTAAGCAGGGTTGGCCCTGGTTAGTATTTAGATGGGAGATCTCCAAGGAATACCAGAGTCACTATGCGGAGGCCAGCAATGGCAAACCACCTCTGGACATTCCTTGCCTTGAAAACTCTATGGGGTCATCACCAGGGGTCATTTCCTGCAGGAGCGCACAGGAGCGGAGCTCCGGCTGTAAAGAGCCCAGGGGGCGGGCACATGCAACAAGCCCCACCCCCTTCTCCCAGCAGCCCTCAGTCAGAGCAAGAAGCAGCCAGGTAAGCTTCAGAGCCCCCCCCCCCGGGCCCTCCGGTCCAAAACAGTCCAGTGGCACCTTTAAGACCAATTTTTATTCAGGTACAAGCTCTCCCTCCTCTGTGAGGACAGATCTCTCCCCGTCCCCCCCCCCCCAATCGCTAGCAATCCAAAACAGTCCAGTGGAGCCTGAGCCTTCTAACACACTTCCGGTGATGTCAAGGATTGGGGCATATGCAAATGAGTTATGCTAATGAGCTCCTGCACCTCTTTTGCTACGAAATGACCCCTGGTCATCAGCATAAGTCAGCTGTGACTTGACGGCACTTACCACCACCAATAATTAGCTATATATTAAATAGTTCTGTTCCTCTTGAGTGATGGATAATTCCTAAGCGAATATTTTCCTTAGTTGCTCTGTATGTAGTTTCCTAGCATAATCACAGAATATGAAAGAGAGTTAATACTCATCCTTCTGCAGCACCAGTGTCTGTTGGTGTCTATTAGTAATGGAAAGCATGCAGACTTCTGAATTGCTTAGCATTCTGCATGGAGAGTTCTGTGCAGATCAAATGCTTGCAGACTGCAAGACATGCAAAGGTGGTCCTTCAGAGGTCCCTGGGCTCAACATGGCAATTAATGTTTGTATCAGATGAATGGTTACTAATCCAGTTTAAGCTCACAGGAATCCTCTAGTGCTTTGAAATATTCGTTAAAGTTAAGATATGTTTTATAACCATTCTGCATGTGTAATTACAGTTAATAACATTATTTATTAAGCACCGCAAGTTCACTGTTACAAAATTTACCTTTTTAAGTTCCTGAGCACATGTAAACAAAGGACCAGAATGGCTAAGCAACGCTGGCTTTAAATGGATCGGTTTTTATACTGGGTTCTGCTTCATTTTCAATTCCAGGTACATGTACTGGACAGAGTGGGGAGGCAAACCAAAGATTGTTCGGGCTTACATGGATGGGACAAACAGTATCACTCTAGTGGACAAAGTAGGACGTGCCAATGATCTCACTATTGATTATGAAGATCAAAGACTCTATTGGACCGACCTGGACACGAGCATGATTGAATCATCAAATATGCTAGGTATGCCAATAGTTTAAAAATATCAAAATGTAATATACAGGGCTATTTTTGGGCAGGAAGACACAGGAACGGAGTTCTGGCTGGCTTCAGAGTTGGCCATGCCCACTACAGCCACAACCTCTGCGTGCCTGGCTACAGAGGGAAGGCCTGGAGAGGACCCCTCCCCGAGACTTCGAGGCGGGCGGGCCAGGGGGGGGCTGGAAGAATCGGGGAGGCATTTAAATGCCTCCCCGTGCCTTCCCTGGCCCGGGCAAGCCAAATGAAGGCATGGTGGTGTGGCCTAATATGCTAATTCGTTTCTGCTGTTGGGTGTGGCCGATTATGCTAATGAGTTCCTGCTGGGCTTTTTCTACAAAAAAAGCCCTGAATATACAGATGACACCTATGAAACTAAACGGGTGAACACTAATCCAAGAATTCCGTGCCTCCAAAGGTGAAGTTCCCTGCTTTGTCTCTAATTTGTCTGTTGACTGTGTGGCATAGTAACAACAGCTGTGACAACATGAACAAGTTTAGGCTGGATCCGGCCTCGCCCTTACATCGCTAATGAAAAACTGCTTTTGTGCCAAACCACGGTGGGGTTACATCTTGTGACAACATGAACAAGTTTAGGCTGGATATGGCCTCACCCTTACATACAACAGACTAATGAAAGACTGCTTTTGTGCCAAACCATGGTGGGGTTACATCCGAACCACAAACTGTGGTTTGCTCTCTTCCCTACAAATTAGGATTCCAAAGTGGGGTTTCATCCTGGTTTGCAACCCTGTTTCGCAGAGAAGAAAATGAACTGTCATTTGTAGTTTAAATATCATGACAAGCAATGCTTTCATTAGACCACACATAAGAAGGTCTGAGTGTCTCTTAGGCTTATTAATGTAATGTCAAATCATGAAGCATGCCGTTAAAGTTAATACATCTCATTTAGGTATACCACTTATGGCACCTTTTAGATCATACTTGAATAATATTAAAATGTATATTTCTTCAAATACTGTAAAATATTTTCAAAGCATTCTTTTATAAGCTCACGCTGATCCTTGTGTCTTGGATTTCACTATCAAAGAAAATATGGGTCTGTGTAATATAAGGATAATTTTGTTTGTTTTAGCTCACATTCTGCCAGTGATAATGCAAGGCAGCTTACAATGTTATTTAAAACTATTTATTTACCTTTTTAGTTTAGCAATCAGCTTGGGAAACACTCCTGAATGGTTATCCTTTACACAGGGTTTGGAAGGGGAAAATCTTACAACACTACATTTAAATTTTCGAGGTGCAGCTAATATGCTGGGGGTTGCTTATGCCAGAAAGAGGAAGCATACAAGAGTGAGCTATAGTTGTTGTTTCTTTAGACCCCTGTACCCTGCTGATTCCCCCCCTTCCAGGATAATTTTGAGGCTCTTAGACTAGGGGTGATAATTTAAATAAACTGTGAACACCACAACTATAATACAGCCCTTTATCCCACAGGAAGCCTGAAAGACACTGTCCCAGTGGAGATTTTGGGTGGGGCATGCTTTCTCGTGATCTGGCAAGCTCTACAGTCTGTACTTCCCCAAAATAGCATAGGTTCAAAGAGCACCTCAGGGGTTTTTACCTGCTCAAAGATAGCCTCACCCCATCAAAAACAGGAAGATTAATCCCTTTGCAACATCAACTCTACACACCAACATAACCTGTGTCTTGTTTAAATTACTTCATCTTGTTCTCCCTATCTAGTTGTTTACTGCATTCAGACATTGACTATGGAGAAACAAGTTTCATATAGGGGTTAGTTAACTAAATACAGAGTTAGATTTCCTTGACACATTAATATCCAACCCCAGACTTCCAGGTTATATCATTTAATGGTTTAATATAAAGTTGAACAAGATAGGTGAGAACATGAAACCCTGAAGAACCCCATATTTGAGAGGCCAGGGAGTTGATTGTACCTCACCAGTAGAAAAGACCCAAACCCTCTGAGCACTGTTCCTGTAATTGGTCAAATGTCCTTCCTCAGGTAATGGTTCTTTAATAAAGGTCTCACAATTGCCTCCTTAAGGAGCTTAGGAAGTTCCCCCAACCAAAGAGGTAGTTATAATTCCAGCTAAAGGAGCTGATTTTATCCTGGCATGATTTAATTAGCCAGGAAAGGCAAGCATCTGTTTTGCAAGTGGTGGCCTTCACCTTTGTTGCCATGCAGCCACTTCAAATGGCATTACTAAAGACTCTTAAATATGACTGCCATGCTGAACTGTGGCAAGAGTGTGTCGGGGCATTGGACAATACTGTATCCCAAAAGCAATGCCTTTACACTGGACCAAAAGTATGTGCTCTAGCCAAGGGGAGCCTTGCGCCTAAGCAGTATACCAAAGCCAGATGTAGAGGAGTGCTGCGCATGCGTCAACAAGATTAGACACCTCACGCTACCCCTCCAAGAAAGGAATGAGATAAAATAAATTACAACCAAAAAACCCTGGAAGATAAGGACGAAAAGGGTAACCCTAGAGAGGAGGAAACTTTGACGAAGAAAGAGATAACTTTGGACTTGGTGAGTTACTTTGCAAAGTTAATTAAATTAATTAAAGGCTTCCCTCGTAATAACCGTGAAATGGTGACAAAGAGAGAAGGGAAGGATATGGCTGAGCTTATATCCAACATGGAAAAAAAACAGAGAGGACATTAAAAAACTACAGGATAAATTTGAGCATCTATCGGAGCACATTAAAATTGCTCAGACAGTAGCCAATAAAGCTGAGAAAAAGACGAGAGCTAGCGAAAAAGAAATACAAGAATTGAAAAGAAGGGTAGCCTCCTTATCAGGCTGACAATGCCGTAAAAATTTGAGACTCAGGAGTAACGGAAGAGATTACTACTAGAGACCTGGTTAAAACTCTAATTGAGTGGTTTCAGAAGCTTGGGATAAATATTACAGAAAATGACTTGGAACGTGCTCATAGAAGTTTGAAACCAAAGCCAAAAGCTGAAGGCATGCCTAGAGACATGCTCTACACTTCCCAGATGTGGTGCTGTGATTGCGCCCGGAAAATCCGCCTATCTTCCGTCTCTGTAGTGTGGCTACTGCTCCGTGTGACCACAGCCAAGATAAAGTTTCGAAAGCTCTCAAGAAAATTAAGAACTTACAACTTCAAGGTCAGAGGGTAATACCTTGTCCTGATTTATCGCGAGAAACACTACAAGAGAGAAGCCAGATGAGACCATATGCTCAGAAATTGTATAAGAATGGTATATTGTTTTCTTGGGGATTTCCAGCAACTATTTTGATCCTCAAGGATGAGAAACTTATGAAAGCAAAAAATCCTATAGAAGCAGAAAAACTATTGGAGAGATGTAATATAAAATATACTCCCCAAGAGGCTGGAAGG